AATAGAAAACAATACACCGTTGTTATTGAATTTAATTCAATAACAACGGTGTTAATGAATTAAATTCTTTTTAAGATTCTTTTATCTTTTTTTTTAACAACTATCTTATTAACTAGTCTAACCAATTTAAATTTTCTTTAATTATCCTATTAACTTATATTCAGTTTTTAAGAGTGATTGCTTTCTTTTTTTTTTTTACGATTTTCTTTTGATTATAGATTAGTAACTGATCTTTACATATTTGTATATATTTGTATATAATTTTTATATGGTACAAAGTAATTTTATGTTTTATGTTTACATTTTAATGGTTATACACGCTTGCTGATGAAAGCATGTCGGGGTGTAGTGATAAGGCAAATATTGTCTTCTTTTAGCCCCGGTCATGTAGATTTTATTTATATAACACGGCATTGTATTCTTTTTTTTTTAATGAAAAATATAAAAAAAAAAAACTAAATGTGAAATGTTTTTAGTCACTAACAATTTATTGAAAATGCTAACACAGCACGTGTTCTCTTCTCTTGATTACACAATATTGAAAAATGCGCGCGCATCTAAACTTGCGAAAAACGAAAGTCGTGACCGATAAATTACTCTAAGGTAATAAAGTATTTTGATTGCTGCGACACAAGAGATAGTTCCTTTAATTTAAAATTTTAAAGTAAAAGAATTGCTGCGCTCAATAATTTTTGTCTAAAAAAAATTGTTTTTTGAGAAAGAAAGGAATAAGTGAGAAGCCAAATTCAAAATTTGCCCAGCTGGATCATTTATTTATGTTTCTCTCAAAGATTAACAAATTACCTTATGTTAATTTTATTTATCTAATTTATCTTACAATCATAATTATGCCAAGATTATGTAAGTTACGTAACCTTTGACCTGTAATTAGTCTTAATAACAAGAGTTAAAAGCTTTAAGTTGGATGAAACTTGACAGTATCTCTATTTGGGATCAAGTTGAAGACTTAATTGTAAACAAAAAAGCCCTTCTTAATGTTAATAAATCATTGAGCCATGACCACTTTTCAAACTAATAAGTTCAATAAGTTTTTTTTATCAAACAAAAACTTATTAAAAAGATAAGTTCAACAAAAAAGTATAGTTGGTATGATTTATCTTCCCCCGTCCATAGTTCTTGCTCTGTTCCAACAAATGATTGGTCGATAACTGTGAAAATGATAACTGATTTAAGTGATCAGTTAGATACAAGTAAACAATGGTTACAAGATGACCATAGGGACAATTTAATTATTGGAGAAATAATTATTGGCTTGCATTTATATAGTATAATATATTTTAATATAAAATAACTAATAAGACTTAATTCATTGAGAATCAATAATTGTAAGACAGCAATAAAATTGAATGTGAACATTTTGCAATGAAAATTAATTAACACAAATTGCTAGTTTTGCAATTAATATTAGTTATTTTAATTGCAAAACCAGCAATTTGTGTTAAAAAAACAAATGACATTTAAAGAAAGGGCCGTTTTATAAGAATTAAATAAATTTTACTTATTTAATTCTCATTAAAAGGGTCTACTCTGGTAATGCCTTGCTAAATAATAAGAATTCTCATTCATTTAACACGTATTGTAAAATCAGGGGCGGGTTATGTCACTCGCGAAGAAGGGGGCTAAAAAGGTCAACAACAAAAAAAGTCTGCATATTTTCATTTTTAAGTTTTTTTTAATTTTTTGTACTTTAGTGTAATAATCAAGTTCATATACGTATAATTACGTATAATAGTCAATTTCATTTGTCAGTATAGTAGTCCAATTCTGTATAGTCCTAAAAGGGGGGGGGGGAGACGCTGCTACCCTATGCCCCCCCCCCTAAAACCTGCCACTGTGTAAAAACTCCTCTTTTTCAGTGATTACCATATGGCAACCCTATATATATATATATATATATATATATATATATATATATATATATATATATATATATATATATATATATATATATATATATATATATATATATATATATATATATATATATAATATATATATATACAGTATGGTGCAAAACTGAACCAGAATGCATAATATTTTTATTTTCTTATAAAGAATTAAGCATTTTGAGAATTAATATTGCTGGTAAGAACTATTATTAAAAAAACAATTTTTATTAAGTATTTATTGAAGAAAAATATTTACTTACAAAATAATAAATGAAAAACATGGTGAATCACTTTTGCACCACAATAAAAAAACTGTCAATTTTTGTCAATTTTGTCACTTTTTAATATTTTGTCCATAATCCTTTAGCTTTTTTAACTGCTGCTAATCTTTTATTTATGCTCTTTACAAGATTTTCGCAAAGGTTTAACGAAATATTTTTCCACTGTTCTTGAACTCGTTCATATAACACATTAATGGATGATGGAGGGTCACAATAGTTATTAACGAGCGCTTTTTTTAATTGTGACCACAAATTTTCTATTGGGTTCAAATCAGGACTTTGTGCTGGTCATTCTAGCACTTGAAAGTC